GGGAGGCTGAAAACAGGAGGATCACTACAAGTTTGATCTGTGTAGTGAGACCCTAGACTCTGTACTAAGTACATTTTTTAAAAAGCAAACTTAATTTTTTTTCTCACTTCTTGCAGTAACAGACACCCATTACTTAGAAATACAATCCAGAAAATTTTATTCTTTCAAAAATCACCATATGAGGTCTCTACGTTCAGGCAGTTTGCTTTTCATACTTCAGAAGGAACACAGGCGACACTCTGGGAAACCTCCCAAGTACCTCATCACTGGCCGGGGCAGGTACCTCAGCAGCGTGATTTCCGTGGCACTGTGTAAGGGACTGAACAAAGCCGCAGTCTGCAGTGGCTTGCAAGGAGTTGTCTCGGAAATGTCCAGCTCATTTTCTGGGCCTAATGAAAAGCTGTAAGCAGATTCACTGAAATGCAATTACCTGCTTCACAACCACATCATTAGTTGAGACAACAAGCCACAGTGTAAACAGCAACATCAAGAGTCTCACTTATTGAGAATTCCCAAGGCGGTCTGTGCTGGGATGCTCATGCGTCAGGATGAGGGTAATCAGCTCTGGAGATAGCTGGGCTCTGTCCCTCCTGTGCAGCCTACATGCTTTGTTTCTGTTTTTCACTTTTATTAGTCCACGCTTACAGCATGTAATGATTACATTCACTGTAGGGAATTGGAATATATACATAACATATTTCAATTCCTTTCTTATTCTACCCTCCCTCTGCCCCTCCTTTTATTTTTCCAGCATCAGATTCGTTTATTTAACTTATAAGAACTTATAAAGTTAATTAATCATATACACAGATTAAAAAACAGACTAATAGGCCAAAGAACATACAAAACATGTAAGACAGTGTATTAAGTGAAGACACACTTTTAGATACATTGTCTGCAGTGGGTTCCTTTTTTCCTATTATTTCATACTTTATAGATGGATGGATAGATGATAGATAGATACATAGATAGGTAGATACATAGATAGATAGATAGATAGATAGATAGATAGATAGATAGATAGATTTTTCACATCAGAGAAACTATATGATATTTAAGCTTCTATGTTTGAAATTTTATTTTTGTTCTGCTGGATCAAGAGCTCTCTATCACTGAGCTACATACTCAGGCCTTTTTACTTTTTAAGAAACAGAGTCTTGCTAAGTTGCCAAACTTGGCCTTGAACTTTCAACCCTCCAATGGCATCTCCTGAGTACCTTGGAATTAGATTTATGCCACAGCTCTTGGCTAGCCAATTCTTTCTTCTGAAAGTCTGATTCTATATTTTCAAAAAGCATTGCTAATATGGAGGCTACAGCACTCCATTTTGGGCTCTCACAAGTTTTATATTTTAGTTCCAACCCTGGTGTTCAGACAAGTTGCCACCTCCAAGACAAGCAAAGGTGACTGGCCCTGGGAAAGCAGCTCCCTTATGAGGAAGAGGCCACCATGAAAACTGAGAGTTGAATTTGGCAACTAAAATGACCTAGGCTAGTATATTCACTAGTAGCTTCCCTCATCAGAATGTGACCTTATTTAAAATAAGAGTCTTTGGAGAAATTTAGGATTTTGAGATGAAAAGATTTGACACACACAGACACAGAAAAAAACCAGGGGAAGACAGAGGCAGAGCCTTCATGGCAGCTGTAAGCCAAGGAACATCAACAGTTTTAGCCAACAGCAGTGTTAGGACAAAGACACAGAAAGGTTTCTTCCTTGACCCTTCTGCCAGGAACCACCCATACCAATGCCTTGCAACTGGCTTTCTGGCCTTCTGGATTTCTGGGAAAGAATAGCTTTTGTTTTTAAATTATCAAATTTACTTTGCTACAGGAACTTGAGAAAATTGATATGCCCTCAGAGTTTCTGTGTGTGTGTGTGTGTGTGTGTGTGTGTGTGTGTGTGTGTGTGTTCAAACCAAGGGCTTCATACATGCTGGAAATGTGCTGTACCATCCACTTGTACTTCTGACCCTCAAAGAGCATTCAAACCTGTGCTAGAGAGAGAAGGATCAGGAGCTTCTTAGGTGGTCTATGTTTCATTAATTTCAGGGTAATTTTGAAGTAAGATCTCTGAGGCCATATGCACAGTAAAGACATCATTTCTTTCCAAACTAAAAGAATGATCACATACAATGAATTTATTTCCACAATACATTTGGGTCACACAGGTCAAGTATCATTAGTCCTGCTTCAGCAAAATAGCATTGATCCAACATTATCAAACAAATTCTTAACAACTGGCTTTAAAATAGACTCTTTTAAAAAAGTAATCATAAAGGATAATCAGGAGGGAATTGGAAGATACAAATACATAAATATTGGATTGGATTGGATTAGATTGTATTTGGAAATAATCAAAACTAATGTAAAATATAAAAATTATATGAATTACATATTAAAATTTCTCTGGAGAGACAAATATGACAACCTTACTTTTGTTACTGTGAGCGAATTTCTTGTTAAATTGTAGAAAAAAAGTTTTTCTGAGAAATATTCTTGACCTACCACATTTATTCAGGTGGTAGCCCACCCAGTCTTAGGGTGGGCATGTCCCAGTCATGATTTACAGGACACACTCAGGAGGCATAAGTGAACAATACCACCCAAACGAACAAAACTGTAATATTTTAAATAAGGGACATAATGCCTCTGCTCTATTCTGCCTCAGACAGTCCATATGTAGAAAGATTTCATTGTTTAGTAAGTAAAAACTATAGATCAAGGATCTAGGGATATAACTCAGTAGTAGATCATTTTTTCTAGCATCTGTGCAGGCCCAGGTTCCATCCCTAGCCCTAGGGAAAAATTAGGGATCAAGTTTCTCAAACGCAGCAACTCTTGAATAGAGGTTTTAATCTTGAGGTATCTCAGAGCCAGCTGGCATCATGTATCTGAAGAAATGTTTCATAGAAGAGGATACTACTTACCCAGTGTCTCAATTACTCTCCTTTCATCGCTTTGCTGGGACAAAATACCCAACACCCAAAATGAAGAAAGGAAATGTTTATTTAGCTCCGAGTTAGTGGAGGTTTCAGTCCATACCCAGCTGGCTCCAAGGCAGAGTAGCACACAGCACAGAACAGTCATTCATGGCAGCAGCATAGAGCAAAAACTGTGGCAGTAGTTCAGGCTAGCTAGCCTTTCTCTCCCCTCCTTACATTGTAAAGCAAATTACCCTCCCCAGGGCCAGGGTGTAGCACTCACTCCTGCCATCCCAGCATTTGATCAAGAATCAATCACAAACTCCAAAAGCTACCTCATTACTGCATGAGGCTTTCTGGGGACAACTAGACACAAACTATAACACCAAGTAATTCAACATTACCTTGTGGTTACATATTAGACAAGAAAGAGCTGCCCAAGATAGGAACAGCATCTGTAACAACTAGTGACTTCCCACTCCTATGAAGTATACAAGCATAGGTAGGTGGGTGAGTTATTTAGTGAGGATGGTACAGCTATTCAATGCATTCAAGCTTTCTTTAAATTCTGACATTATTCAGATATGTAGTTCTTCTCATTTGTGATATAAATATCTTCATGTCTTTAGAATCTGAAGTTTTGACCCTGGATCTATACAACATGAAGCTCAAGAATCATTTTTGCCACATGCTGTTGACAGTTGATAGGAAGGGGAAAGGTAGGCTGTTGTGAAATGTAGTAGAGATTAAATATGGAGGGTTCTCCCTTATTGGCCTTGAACCATAAGGCCCATATTGTCAATGATCTTACAAAATGAGTAAGTAATATGATATAAACAGATGTACTTATCTTCCTATATTGAATGTGTAATCAATTGAACTTAAATGATACTTAACAATATACTGAAAAAAAAAAAAGGAGGGAAAATAAATGAGAAGTAAACAAGTATAGGACACCTATACTGGCGGAGAAAATAGGAGTATTTTTCAGAGTTCTTCAGAGAAACAGAATCAGTAGATGTATGTATGGAATGAGAAGGCAGTGATTTTTTTTCAAGGAATTGCCTCACAGGATTGTGGGACCGAACAACCCAAATATGCAGTATGGGCTGGCAGGCTGGAGACCCAGAGAGGAAACCTAGACAGTGAGCCGAGTCTCATGTCACCCCCTGAGAATCCCCTCCTTCTGTGGAGATAGGTTCTGATATATCTGCCAATGTCCTAAATACTTAATCCTTAAAAGCTTGACATTAAGTAGGGGATTTTTTTTAAAGTTGAATGATATATAATGAATGTGACTGTTGTAATGTTATCTACTCAGCTACGTATTCCATATACTTTATGAACACAACCGCATGCAAATTGTAAATAGGCCACATTTCAGTCCAATGAAGATACAGTAATGTGCTTCAGAGGCTCTTCACTATTTCAAGAAAGGCACTCAAAGGAAAGCAATCTAAAAAGTGTTTCTATAATACTGAGTACATTGAACAAATTATTACTAGAAGAACATAGCAAACAGGACCAATGGAATTATTCCTTTTGCCTCCACATTACACCAAAAATAGACCAAAAAAGATGAAGAGAATGGATTTTATTTTTAGTGGTTAACTTTATTATAAGAGCCCCACAGATTCGGTAGAAAATGGTTGAAATGCAGGAAGAAGGAAATATGAGAGAGACATCATCAATATATCAATCTAATCAAACAAAGACTTGTGGTTTTTATTAATAAAAATAGAAATTTAGTTACACAGAACATTTTATTTATAATCTTAAAGCCAGCTACTAATTGAGGTATATATATATATATATATATATATATATATATATATATATATAATTTTATTTGATAAACTTACTATGGGAACTTCACAATTAATATTCCATCATGTGCTTAATCTTTATTTGCAACTTGGTGTGTATTTAGAAGGCTATTTTTTTAAAGTTTCTTCTTGTATCTGTTCATCAGACTTATCAGGGACACAAATATTCAATAGTAGTTGTAGATAGCAAGTTATCCTTTCAAACCAAACCAACTTCACCTTAAAGTAAGTTAAGGGTACATAAAACAGGAGTGCACCGAGGAAAAATAGCAGCACTTAGATATAATGCATCTTTGGAGACTTTACCAGTGGTATCAAAACCATGCTCAGGGTGATGGCCATGGTTATGAATATGTAAGGCATAAAGACCTGAAAAAATAAAATTTAAAAGTCTGATTACACAGGAAAATCTATATTTCATATTTACATATTTATATAAACACAAAAAATATAAGCTAATGATTTTAAAACAGGCTATAATAGCTAAGTTAGGTAAACTTAGCTTAAAACAAATTCTTGAGAGAAAGGCAACGTAGACGGCACCACACAGATTGGAGGGAGTGAACATCTAGCGTGTGATTGTTCACAATGGAAATAATCATGGCCATTTTCTGCTCATCTGGATGTCATGAATTTGTTCAAAGAGCATTTCTCTGGCCCCGTGAAAGTCACAATCTTCCTTGATAATATTTCAAGTCCATAAGAAATTTAAATCAGTAAAAAAAAAAAAAAAAAAGCCACAGATGTGTTATTTGGGTAAGTAGTATGACTTTCTAGGCTCAGTAAATTAAGAAATGAAACAAATTGAGACAAAATTTTGGTCAAAATAATTCTCCTTATTTTTTATTTTATGTTTATCTTGCTAAAAATCTTAAAGATCTAATCTTGCTTTATGTTGGAATTATAGGAGTCAAATATCTCATATTACCCAATCTAGAAGAAGAAAATTTGGTAAACAATCATTTTAAAATATCTTTAAGAGACACAGATCTATACTCTAAAGATATAATACAGCTAGTGACCACTTATGAAATACATACATATATTTGTGAGTCATTCGTGGGGGCCTTAATTAAGAATTTCCTCTTGTAAAGACAACCCTAACAAAGATAACTATTATCTCACAGCTCAATATTAGCTATCCAATAATTAAGAGAAGAGAAAAAATGTATCCACTTATTCTACAGATTGTGTTTGCTTTCTTTTTTTGATGTAAATGTAATCTGAATAATGATATAAATAATAGAAGCCATTAATATCAGGACCTGGATTGTTTGGACATTATGGATTATTTGACACATGCGACATCCTAGAAGGTTAGGTATGAAAGAACTGAACACGAGAGACTAAATAACATGATGGACTTCGGAAAATAAACTTAAGAATTAGATTTGAGCCCATCCTGTTAAGGATCATCTTATGCCTCATCTTATTGTTACATTCAAAATTCATTGAATTCTTTTTAATTTTACCTAATTAGAATAAATGATCCAACAAATAAAAGCAAATAAAGAACAGATTCAAACGAGGCAGGCTGTAAGATTATGACAAGAACCTCTGGGGAGGCACTTGCAAGACCGACCATATACGCCAACCCTCACTCTATAGTTTTCGGAGCAATCTTTGCATGTTATAATGTAGCAACTACTACACTGTGATTTTTGGTTTTACAATCTGGCTTTCAAAAAAAGATTATGGCCTGCCTTTAAGATTAATAACCACACCTGTTTGAAGTATAGTCACGTCTCAATAACCAGTACTCAATACATAAGGAGTAAGTGACAGCTGGATAAAGGAGGAGAAAACTAAAAAGGAGTGAGAGCTGAAAGTCAACCAAGGCTGGTGTTTGTGACATCGCTGTCTTCCTTCTGTATTCTTTTTTCATATTTTGTACTTAACAAGAGTCAAATATTCCAAAGAGACTGCCTCGGTTTGAACCTTGGTTCCATTGCGTGCTGTGTGAACTTGGGCATATGACTTAGATTTGCTCAGCTTGGTCCCTCATTTGTAAAACAGACCTAACAAGAGTATCAATCTTCCATATTATTGAGAAACTTGGTAGTTGTCATCCAAGATCAGATTTAAACATGATTCCAGCCCAATTAAAACTATTATTCTGATAGGTCCTCTTTTCCCAATAGTATCTTCATGCTACCAAATATTTGCTGATTTCTTTTTCTGTGCTTAAAAGACTACCACTTTTCCTGTGATTTTTTTTTTTTTCTCATCTAGAGTGAAAGTAAATTTAAAGGCAGTAACATTGAAGATACAGAATTTGTCGTGACTAAAGTAAGTCAGTGCTTCAAAACAGCAGACATCATTCTTCATCTCACTTTGCCTCTTCTGTTTCTCACTTGCCACATCTGACCCTGACTGAAGAAGATACTGGGGTGACTGAGTGGCTTACAAAGAAATCAAGTATTCTCTGGTCAAAAGAACCATAATGATCTATCCCATCATCCAGAAAACTATCTCTGTCTTTTATAAACTATTAACTATACTTTAAGAGGTTTTATATGGATTGATGCCTGCCCAATTTTGAAGGGTCCTGAGTTCAATCCCCAGTACCACCAAAAAAAAAAAAATCCCACCTAATAAAAATGAAAATGAAAACAATTTATACCTATATGCCACAATTTGTTGAGCAAAATGATCTACTCATGTTCTGAATATACTTTTATACTTTTAAAATACAGTTATATGTAGTATCTTCTGTTTCACACAGAAAAAAATATTTAGAAAATTCATTTTTACCTTATAAGGCCTGTGTAGATGTGGTTCCTGGTACCTCAATTTTAGTAATCCTATCATTTGTAATGTAGTCCAAATGGAAATTACAAAATAAAGATAGTTTATCAGTTCAACTAGGTTTGTTACAATGATGGCAATGGATCCCATTATGACAATTGCTAGCACAGCTATCAGTGGAGAGGAGTGGATATTAAGTGTATTGAATAACAAAGGCAGCTGGCCTTGCTGACCAGCAAGATGTAGCACCCTCGATGAGCCAAGTGCATTAATCAGAAGGTTGCTAAATAATGAGGCAGAAATAGCAAAAGGCATAAACCACGTTAACTGAGGGATAACTCTCTCAGTCCAAGTGATTGCCACAGCATCTGCAGAGAAACAAAAACACATGAAAGAAATATGTTAAGGAAGAAAACTACTAATAGCAATGATCATACATAAAAAAGAAACTGGCAAATCTTTTAATAATACTATTTCACAGTCTTAAGCCCAAAGTTTAAAAAGTCACTCAGAAAATTTAATTTTTCTTATTTCCTTGTTTATAATATAATTTCTGTTGCTTACAGTAATATCTCGTGCGTGCATCCTTTGCAGCGCTATCACAATGCATCGCAGACAGCCATCATTCTTATGGCTTCTACAACAGATCAGGAGTTCTTTCTGGGAAAGGATTCATCCATTCTTTTAAACTAGTATTTCACTTAGTGACAGACATGGTGAGTTTTCCACATGGATTTGTGAGACACTCTAGCTCTGTTGACTGGACGCTTGGAAGCACGCCGATGTTCTAAAAGGAGAGTTCGAGAAAGGCATGGTGTGGCACTGCTGAAACAGCGTGACGGCGTATCCATAAAATGACACGAATTAAATATTTAGAAAAGTGAGCCATGTAGGTGGAAAGCAAAAAAATTACACACAGGTTTTAAAGCCTACATTTAGGACAGGTCCAAACTATAGACTGGTGGTCCTCAACTAGAGATGATTTTCAAGGGTCACATGAGATTATTTTGGTTATCCCAACTAGGGAGGGAGAAGGTTTCTATCTAGTGGGTAGAGGTCAGGATGCTGCTATCCACCGTACAATGCACACAGCCATCACCTACAGTAAGAAAAAGTATGGCCCAGCATTGGGAAGTGACAGTGACAGAGCATTTATCTATCATGCATAAAGCCCTGGGTTCACTCCCCCCAACTATGGGGGCCAGAGAGGACCGGAGAATTGTACAGAAATGTCCATAACGTTGACACTGAGAAATTCTCCTATGTAGAATAATCATTAGAGAATATTCTGGGGGAAGTTTGCTTAAAAATGACAAGACCTTATAACATTAGTATATCAGTAAGTATAAAATCACCATTAAAGGGATGCATTCATTACATGTGAGAACTCAATTCATGTTACACAGATATAAACTAGGACAGACCACATGCTCACAGAGAAGAAAGGGCTCAGTTTTCAGTGGAATGAGAACAGCATCTCCTAATGGCCCCAGGGTGGGGACCTGCTGGGGCTACTTTATGTGCAGGTAGCTTGGTTTCCAGGGAAGCCTCCAGGTCATCAATACACTTTTCACATGTGACCAAATTAAAATGTCATCAATGCCTCTTCTTCTTAAGACCTTCATGTTTTAACCCATTTGAACACACTTAAGTCCTATCACTTCTCTCTTTAGTACTGCTGTCCTACAATAAGGGGTCTTGATTAAAAGTACGCCATATCCTGCCCCAGTTGTTATGCATCTCACATGAGGCATAATTGGTTATTCTTCCCGTGCATTCAAGGCACTGTACACCTCCAACTTTCAGACATCTTTTAGAAGCATTGCTTTCCCATAATGCAAAGGGAATTCTCTTCAGATTTCCCTGTGAGTGCTTGACAAATGTGGCTGATCACAACCAGGGAGGGTCCAAGCAGCTCTGAGAAATAACTGATACAAAATGATACACAATATTCCTATGTAATCTTTACTGATTTCCCAGAAGTGATTTTTTTTATTACTTTTTATGTACTACTCATTTTTTCTTTAAAAATTCTTATCGAGCTGGGGAGATAGCTCAGCAGCATAAGCACCTGTTTGGTAAGCACAAGGTCTCCAGTTCGATCCCCTGGACTGCATGCCATGCCGACCCCAAAACTGGGTGTGGTGGCGTGGCACTGGAGCAGCTGAGACTGGAGGATCACTATGAGTCTGAACTGCGTAGCAAAATCTTGTATTCCAATAAATAATTTTTTAAAATTCTTTTTAAGAAATATTATCCTATATGTCTCCAGTAAAGAACAATAAATAGCACTGATGTTCATAACGTAAAGACAAAATGTCCCCTTTCTCCTCTCCTCAATCTTTAATTCACATGACCCAAAAAGTAACTGCTATAAAGAACTGCCTGGATCCTTTTGCAGAAATGGTTGGTGATGGCCGGGCTTAAGCACCTGTGAGAATTGTGCGCATGTGTGAATGGTGCCTGTGTGTGCACGCATGCTGGGCTGCTACCACGCTTAGACTTTTTTTTTTTTTTACTTTCCAGTATATCTTGGTCCTCGGAGTGCAAATACATTCACCTAGTCATCCTAGTGAATTCTCAGTAGATCGTTTCATAACTGTAAGTTAATTTGTCTACTCATTTTACACTGGTGTCTCAGGTTTTTCAGATTTTTGGAATGAGAAGACAGGCTTTAACAAAAATGCTCATGCCTTCACTCTTGATAGTTATATAATTCTCAGTAAATTCCCAGAAGTGAGACTTGTGAATCCATATGTGAAGACGTTATCAAGTAAAGATGATATCATAAAGTTATCCTCCAAAAATAACTGCATCCATTTATCAGGAGTAACTCTAAAATTCCCTATCTCTTCAAATTTCTTAACTGTACGTGGATATTTGAGACCACGTCCCGTAGGCAGCCTCTGAACACGGAACCCCTTTAGCTTCTATCCCTATGCCATTTAATTCGTGATTTAGGTTACCTTGTCCTAAACCCATATTCTCTAGTTTTACAGCACTTGGAAACCTCAAGGACTCCAAATGTGAGCACTCAGATCACCGATGTGTTTGCAGGGTATCCAGATCTCAAGCTCTCAGGGTGGAACCAGGGCTCCCCACATCGCTATTTCCACATGTCTCATTCTAGAGGGACACCTTTCTTTCCCCAGTTGAGGGTTTATCTACATTGAAGGTCATTTTTTTATCTGATAAGAGAGCAACGTGTGACAAATAAACCAGATCTCTTATACTGATGAAAATGTTACATGATAATATCACTGATTCTTTCGTTACATAAACCACAGAATGTAGCCTTTATCACAGCGAGGCATAATGTTTTTCAGTGTTCCTCACACAAAATGTAACAACCAATTCATACTGCATTATAGATACTCTATGTTGCTTTGGAAGTTTTTTACATCTCTTTTTTATGTATTTAAGGTCTAGATACATAAAAGAGTCTACAGGGTCTCACTACACAGATGGGACTCGTAGTGATCCTCCTGTTTGCAGCCTCCCAAATGCTGGGATTACAGGAGCGCTCCACCACGCCCAATCTCAGTTGTCTTCTCAGTGCATCCTAGGGGTGGAGTCGGCACTGCAGGCCAGGGATTGAACCCTGGTCTCTGCGTGTGCCTAAACAGGCGCTTTAATCCGCTGAGCTATCTTGCTGGCACTTACATCTTTTACAAGTACCTGTTTTGCTTTGTTTTGTTCTGTTTTCCTGTACTGGGAATTGATGCTAGGCAAGCACTCTATGACTGGGTTACATTCCCACCATTTTTGTTTAGATTGGATCATGTTAAGTTTCCCAAGACTGGCCTCAAACTTGTGATCCTCCTCCTCAGCCTCCTGAGTAGCTGAGATTACAGGTGTGTGCCATCAAAGTAATCTACCTATACCAGTTTAATTAAAAGAAAATCCTTAAAATTTCCAATTTTAAGAAACTCTTTAGTTTACAACTTTTCCCACTAAGTGTGCAATGCATTAAAGAAAATTTGGAAAGTTCAGTGGAAATAATAAAGCAAAAGTTGCCCATAGTTTCTTAGTGATTATCAATGCTGATATCTAATTTTTATTTTTTAAATGTGTTTTATTATTCCCTATTGAAGTTACAAGATACTGCATTTCAATGTGGTTTTTAACATGTATTTTGATCATATAAATACTCCTTGTTTTAATCCCTTACTTCCTCCCCTTTCCTTTCTCTTGTCCAATAAATTCTCTTCCTATTTTCATCTCATATTTTTAAGATTCCACATACTAGGAAAAACATACAACAATTGTCTTTCTAAGTCTGGCTTATTTTAACCCGATGATCTCCAGCTTCATCCTTTACTTTCTATTTTATAAGAGAATATAGATCTTGCCTTTTCTGCTATCATCAATTCTAAACATTGCCCCTTTCCTGCAGGTACCCATAATCAGCATAATCTTTCATACAGCTCAGAGAATTCTATTATATGAATCGTAATATTCATTTATTTCAAACTCATTATACATTTTGGTGATCTCCACGTTTTTATTATGGTACTTAATGAGATGATAGTCATCCCTATATACACATTTTCTAAACACATTTTCTCCTACAATCTTGAATATTTTTTAACTTAAATGTTTAATATCACAAAAGTACAGATACTGACATTCAGAATTTGAGCAAAAACTTAAGGATTAGGCCTGAAAGGATTTGCTCTGTGAACCAAATTATGAGCAACTATTGTCCAAGTACTCTCAGAGTTTTCTGCACACTCCGAGATGGCATATTGTGCCACCCACAAACTTGGTAAGACCATGACAATTGGCTAGAGGAGACATGCACTATCTCATACAGAGCTGTGAGGCCAGGTCACATCGAATTCTGGCTTCTGTGAACCATAATGGCTGCCTCCAACGATCAGCAGCTCTGGTCACACCCACAATTAATTATAAATTTACTCTTCACACAAACAAAATAGCTAGGAAACCACTGCTTGTTCTTACCCAGTTTTAGACTGGTTTGTTCCCTCAAAATTTGGACCTACCTAGTTCCCTGGTCCCAGCACACCTAGGCCAGGAGGAGTCAGCACTGTTGCTCATTGCACGAGACAGAATCCTACACAGCACTCACAGGAGCACTGCGATGGCTTCTTAGAATGCTTATATTAAAACCATTATAAATGATATTTAAGGAGATGGAATTACTAATGACCCTAATTTAATCATGTATACAATGTATTGTATTTTCATACTATACCCCTATATACAATTAATAATGGTAGTGAAATTACATATTTCTAAAAACCTCTCAGATTGAACTCCAATGCCTCAAATATTTATTCCCAGTGTCTTAATTATATCAATAATAGTATCTAACAGGATTAGTCCTTTTTATATATTTTAATATTTTATTGAGAAAGAAGTACCAATGAGATAGTTTCAAAACAGGTTAGTAGGACAGTTACAATAAATAATACATTGCATATTGTTGTCTTTGTAGTAGTTGTTCCTAGTACAGGATGCAGATATGATATCTTGTCTAAACACTATTAATTCAAAACCTTCTTGTTGAACTAAGAGAAAGTAGCTGTATATTTATGCTATTTTGTATATACAGATACATATTTTTTCCACTACAAAATGGGCCATTTATATCCCCTTTTTGCCAGAGATGTGTATTCCATTGCCATTCATATATTGTAGGGGCATGAATTCAGAAGAGTAACCCAATACAGTCCAGTATCTATAATAGTAGTGGGTTATCCTCAAGACTGGCAGTGTTAGAAGTTGTTAAGTTGAGCCATTTACAACTCAGCATATTAATATGGCTTTACTTTTTGTACCTCAGTTTTATACTTTTCTGCTGGATGGTTAAGGCCAAGGTAAAGCAAGACCTATATAACAAGAAATGGAACTTTTATATCTGATAAGGTCAGTCAAGTCCCCTCAGGATTTATCCTGAAACCCTGTGCTGCACTTTGTAGATCCTTTGTCAATGTCACCCATGTGGATGAGTCATGGCCACTGCTTGACCAATTTGCTCTCTGAGAAAGCCTGAGAGAATGTTTTCTCTCCATGTGACTCTCCTTTGGCACACTCTACATCATTGATCACTTTCCTCTGTAGCCCCATAATCTCCTTGATCAGAAAATTTAGGACATCACTGAGTTACAGGATGTTACAGTACAGGTTCTCCTATATTTTGAGTCCTCACTGACACTGAAGGGCTAGGGCCTTTCAAAATGTTGGCTGTCCTCGCAGCCCTTCTTTTTCTCTAATTTTTGGTCTGCAAACTTTAGTTGTTAAACATCCAGAAGAGAAGCTTAATGATATTACCCTATAACATAGGCATTTGAGCGTAACCTCACTATCTAGCAGGATTAGCCCTAAAGGCACAGGATGATAGGGCTTATCTCATAAAGTGGTGACTCCAGGTTTATTGCTGGAGTAGAATATTTTTACTTTCCCTGTTTCTCATTTCTTTCCAATTTTCTTATTCCTTGAATCTAATTGTATTTTCAAATGTGTTTACATCTTTAACATTTTCTCATTCTTTATTCTACAATTTGAGCCTCAAGATAGTAGTTGACCATCTAACTTTCAACATAGTCTTTTACCACAATAAATTGAGTTATTTAAGGCAATCAAATATATTCTTTTATCTATTACTATTAATTAAATGCAATAATTGACCATTAGTATTTACATTTTAACTACTAATATCTTGCATTTCAAACTTATCATTTTTCATATCACCTGGAAGAATATAGAAAATTAAATGCTTTAAAAGTTATAATAGATAATAATACTGATTACATAGTATCTATCTGATGAAAAGAGATCATGAAAGGATTAACTAATATTTTGAATCTGAATTCTATAATCATCAGCATTATGCAAACATTTTCCATACTATTAGAAAAGGCATTCATGTTTAAACATGATCTAGGCCTGATCATCCTCTTTAGCATTCTGTTACTCGAAAATTACAAGTCAACGTTATATAGAGAATAATGACCAGAAAGCACCAGTCTCCACTGGTCAGATGATATTCGAGATGTGCTGAAATGACAAGCCCTTTATTTGCTTATTGTCTGGGCTGTATGTGTACAAACCTGAAGAAAGAATTTCTCTAGGCGTCAGCACAGTCATGTAGGAAATGTTAACCAGCAAATAGAGCACGGTCACCACAGGGAATGCTGTAAATATGCATTTGGGAATTGTCTCTCTGGGTTTTTTCAGCTCTCCTGTAACACATAAAAGAGAAAAATTGTAATTGGCAAAATGTATTTCTTAAATTTGTCTTTAAAATGTTTCACGTGGGGACTGGCGTGGTGGTAAAGTGCCTTGCCTAGCATAGCCTTGGCTCCCATCCCCCCACACATCCCTAGCACTGCAAAAAGGAAAGAAAAAGAAAACTTGTTCCATGTGTCAAGTACCAGGCTGGGTTTCTCTTCCTGCCCACTCCACCACCACACATGCACACACGCACACACACATGCGGAGGGTCTGGGACAAACTACTGTATAGCCAGCTCCCTCTGAGTTGGGTGCTACATGAAGATACTCCCTGCATTTTCCTAATAGATGACACGACACCATTTCTGGGAATACAAAAATAAAAAATGACATTTGAATCTACATATTCAGCCCTCTCTAGTAGGAATTCTTTTGGGGATTTTGAGACAGGGTCTCCCTACATAGTACAAGCTGGCCCCAACTCACTATGTAGCCAGGCTGGTCTCGAACTCAGGGCAAACCTCCTGTCTTAGCCTCCCAAGTGCTGGGATTACAGGCATGCACCACCACACCTGGCTCTTTAGCAGGAATTCTGCACTGAGATTGCAGAGCTGACCTTGGGCAGTAGGAAAACAATAGTGAACAAAAACTGCAGGACGTTAAACCTCAGTAAGAGAAGCTACATGTTAGTTACTGCCTAGAAACATATGCAAAAATGAAGACTGGTAAGTGGCCATATGAAAAGAAACTAAATGTTGAAGCTGTTCCCATGGCAAGTTGATGCTTGCAGTCCTTTCTACCACCTCTAGTGTGTACAAGTGGACTTGCTTTTTCTCATTCTTCAGAAATGCCATGTGCCTTCTTGCCACAGTTCCCATTCTCTTAGATAGAATGGTCTTTCTTTTCCCAATTCCAAGTTGTTCCCTATTTTCCTTCAGATCTCTGCACAAGCATTATTACTTCTGCAAAAGTAGGAGAGGAAAATCTCTTGCTGAGTAATAAAATTGTCTGGTCATAAGGCATACGTTCAAACAGAGTTAAAAAGAATCATAAATTCCCCCTGTAGCTTCTTACCCTTCATGTGTTCTAGTAGCAAGCACATGAACAGAAGAAAAAAAGGTCAGGATATGTAGCCTGGTAGTAAAGGGCTTATTTTGGTAGCAGAATATCTGGGCTTCATTCCCAGCACTACAAAGAGGAAGAAAAGCAAAAAGCAGTATGAGGCATAATTTAGCATCATAGATAAGGTATTTTTTGTTTGCTTGTTTTCTTTTTGTTTTGTTTTGTTTTGTTTTGTTTTGGTCTCACTATGCAGTTCAGACTCGTAGTGATCCTCCTGCTTTTAGCCTCCCCAGCAGCTGGGATTACAGGCATGCTCCACCACACCTGGACTCCATCACCCGTTCAGCACACCCTGGGGGTGTGGCCAGTGTGGCATGTGGTACAGGGGATTGAACCCCAGTCCCTGCACTTGCCTAAGCAGGTGCTTAGTCTGCTGAACTATCTCGCCAGACCTGATAAGGTACATTTTAGAACAGTTTATTTTTCCAACATCATTCAACTTGTTACACCATTTTCCCTGGTTTTGCTATCTGCTGAGAATTATGCCTTGACAGAGAAAGTCCGATATGTGCAGCCACATATACTAAATGCAACCTCTGCACAGAGCAGTGAAACCAAGTAGGGATCTGCGACCACTGTATGCCAGACATCACCAATATATAAGAAAGTCTATCTCAAGAATTTGAACCAAAGATCAGTAAGACTAAAAGAATCAAAAGAAAATCAATGTAGTGGTGGTTTTTAAAAAAATGAATGGAAGATGAAAGATTTAGTTTTTCAAGTCCTAGTGCTGGCCTGTTTTTTTGTTGCTGCCAAAGCTTGGTTGCTCAGATTTTTCTTGAACTATAACATTATTTTTTCCCATAAATTCCCCTTTTATTGTTTAAACTATTGTGTGTGGGTTTCTATTATGTAAAGCCAAATCCTCCTGACTAATAACTATCTATCCTTTTATATACATCAAAGTTCTTGCATTTGCACAGATTTTCAATATAACATCCATGGAATACATTAATATGAGTTGATTAAGCATTTGAAAGGTAAGAATTAGGGACCTCTGATTTTAACCTACCTTCACTGCTGGTTTTGAACAATATATTATCTAACAAGTTTCCTCCTTTCTTGCTGTTATATTGGGAGAAAATGGAAACAATATGGATAATAAAATTCCAATCTTTTCCTTATCACTTAATAAGTGCTTTAAGAGTGATCATTATTGGGCTGGGGAGATAGCTCAGTGGCTTAAGTGCCTACCTGGCAAGCATAAGGTTCTGAGTTTGATCCCCAGTACCAAAAAGAAAAAAAGAATGATTGTTATCGATCAGTATGGTTATTAAAGTTTTGGAACAAGAAGGACAACTTTTTAAATAAGCTATACTTTTTTTAAAAAAATCAACTGTATATTCTCATTATGCATTTAATTTATAGATAGGAATAGAGAGTAGCATTTAATTTGTAATAAAGAGCTATAACAACCAGACAGGCAGTGAATATTCTTGAAACTTGATCTAAAAGATAAGTACTCTGACACCATTCAAAGTAAGCTGCCTATATATTACTATTTTATGGACAAAGCATTTTTTAGAACTTTGTGTATCATAAAGTTTGTTGAATAAATTAACAACTGCACACACACAGAAATGCTTTCATCGTTCATTCACTGTTAGTAACTGCTTTGGAGGAATTTTGTATTTGTTTATAGATTAATAATTATATAAATCTATTTTCAGCAGAGAATAATTATCTATCAGTGAAACATTTCAGGTAATAAAACAAGATAGAATTGGCTCAAATAGAAGTCAGAAGTATCTTTTTAAAAAAATAGGTTTATGGTGTGTGTGTGTGTGTGTGGGAGAGAGAGAGAGAGAGAGAGAGAGAGAGAGAGAGAGAGAGAGAGAGTTGATCACTTTTATTTCTGAATTTGCAGCGGCCCATTTAGTCTCAGATTGTACAAGCATCTCACTGCTTTCCTTCCTCAACACCTCACTTTTTAACTCAGTGCAAACTGACATTTTCCTAATGTCTGAAGTTCACCAATGATCTCTGACTTAAACAATGAAATGTTCCCAAGTCAGTCTGCTCAAAGAGGAGGAAGTGTTTGGTAGGGTTGGTGCATGACAGAGCTCAGACCAAGATCTAAGTATTTCCTCTTTGACTAGACTACAATCCTCTTTAGGGTTTTTTTGTTTGTTTGTTTGTTTTTGGGGGGGTTGTTGGGGTTTTTTTTGCTCCGAATACCTTCAGGGCTGGTTTGACTGGCTTGAGTTGTGGGGATGGAACCACAGCAACCTGAGCCTGAATGCTTTGTTAAAGCAGCCACTTGAAGAACTGAGCTAAGGGGCAGGCCCCCTACAATCCTCTTTAGAAGAAGAGGATTTAGGACATCCTACTCATCTGAGACACTAGTACAGATTTTTAAGGGCAGTTTTTCATTAAATGATTTAATTCATAACAAACACATCACTGAGGAAGCATACAATAAAGGATAATCTTATACGAGAATCAAGAGTTGCCTCATATTTAATGCCAACATAAAGAGCTGGTAAAAAGATAAAATAAGATAAATGAATGTGAAAAAAGCCTGAAGAGGCAGCAGGAGAAGGATGCAGAATTCAAGTGAAGAGACTGAGCTTGAAAATGAGGAGAAAATCTTTTGTCCAGACCTACTTCAGAACAGTCAGAGATGTCCCTAATTGTCTGCTCCAAGAAAGTGCTCATGCAAATGTGAGACAAAGCGCAGCGCTGCTGCTCTGCTCTGGGCTCCTGAGTGAGCCAAGCAGGAAGACTTCACTGGACACCCTCTTTGGTGGCCAGCTGCCCAGTTCTGGCCCAATGAACCAGGATCATGAAGCCACTGAAGAAGTTTCTGCGTCACGTGCCCAACTTCCTGAAATCATGCTTACAGAGGCTGGTCCTAAACACTGCTTTGCATTTTAGCTAATTGACTACTAGGTAGATCCAAAATTGCTATAGAATGCTCCTATAGAGTATGAAAAAAAATATCATTAATTAGAAACATTGGATGCATTATTATATAGACCTACGATGTTACATTCACTTGTAGAAGAAAAAAGTTTTAATAAAATATAATTCCAAAAGGCATTAAAAACGTTCTACAATCTGAGGTGCAGGATCTCAGGATAAATCCTGAGGGGATTTCACTGACCTTATCAGACCCCAAAGCTACAAATCTTGTTGCATAGGTCCTGCTTTACCTTGGTCTTTGCCATCCAGCAGAAAAGTATAAAAACGAA